CCTTAACGTTGTCGATCGTGTCCGAGCTCTCGACCTCGAGGGTGATGGTCTTGCCGGTGAGAGTCTTCACAAAGATCTGCATACCACCACGTAGGCGGAGCACGAGGTGGAGGGTGGACTCCTTCTGAATGTTATAGTCGGCCAAGGTGCGGCCGTCTTCGAGCTGCTTACCAGCGAAGATGAGCCTCTGCTGGTCGGGGGGGATCCCCTCCTTGTCTTGGATCTTGGCCTTAACATTGTCGATGGTGTCGGAGGATTCAACCTCTAGGGTGATGGTCTTGCCAGTGAGGGTTTTCACGAAGATCTGCATCTGAATATAACACAAAAGAGGAATCAGCATCCGACCGAATAAAATAGATTAAGACCGACATAGATCAAACAGACAACCCAACATCATGTAAGAATAACACGAAAACAACGCGACGTCTCTAAATCAACAAGGGAGAAACCAAGTTTCATAGATCAGATACACAGGGGGGTCGATCCAAAGACACGTCTCGAAGTTTCAAGATCGATGACCAGATCCGTAAAAGAAATTACAAGGAAACGAAAAATCTTGTAGATCAGATACACAGGGGGATCGATCCAAAGATACATCTAAAAGTTTCAAGATAGATGACCAGATCCACAAAAGAAATTACAAGGAAACGAAAAATCTTGTCGACGAGAACGGTTAAATATCAGGAAAGAAACGATCGCCATATCAAAACCTGAGAATACATGAACAATACTCAAAGAAAAAGAAGAAAAAAAAAGAAAAAAATACCCAAAATTAAAAGCGAGTAAAGAAGAAAATATACCTTGGGTGAGGGAAAAGGGAACTCGCAAAGCTTCTTCGGTAGCTGAGAATATGTGCGACCGAATTTGGTCGCCCGGGAGCCTCCTTTATAGCAATTTCCTTGTGTAAGAACAGCCCCCGGTATTGGTACCGCAGACGATTCTTCGTATCGCCACCGCACACTTGGACGGATGATATAGCAGACGTAGGACACACGGTTCCGTCATTTTCGGCAGGCCATCTAAATTTAAGCTGACGCTTCAACACCCTATACCCGCTTTTCCTAATCGAGAAGCTTCTTCTTCTTATTCGTGGGTGGGTGACCTAATTGGGCCCCACGCGTTTTGTCCAACCAAGAAGAAGGTAGGCCACGTTTAAGCCGCAGTACAAGTTCCGAAACTTCACCCCGGGATGACGGCAACATTTGAGGTGGACGCGGAGTAGGTATCGGCTAGCCGACGTTGCTTGACGATGAGGGCGTTGATTCCCAGCAGGCTTTTCGTCGGCTGCTTCGCGGAGTTTTCCCTAGGTATGAATCCTCGTTTGTCTTTACGCTTGCTTCGTTTTGATCGCTTGATCGAGTCGCTGCGATTGGCGACGAAGGATCCATCGGTGATCTGAGCTTCTCAAGTGTGCCTGGTACGTGTTTGTCAAAATGACTTGGGTTATCAATATGGTCTTTCTCGGTTTTCTTTTTCTGTGTCCACGTACATCCCCCGCAAAGGCGCGTCTACGCAAACGCGCCTGACATTGGCCGTGGACAAAGCAAGGAACAGGTCACTGTTATAAACCTTATCTGCCAACTGTTTGTCAGAATTCAAAAGTTCTTTCTTTTCCTCAAAAACTAAATGCAATCGTATCTCATGTGTATCTGTGGGCAATACCACGTTCCAACCACTGTTTATTTAATTGACTTTAATTTTGGGGCTAAAAACCATCACCACAACAGCAGGAACCATTCTGATGTCTTTATCATGGATGAGTATAAGATACAAAGAGGCCTCTTTTTATATGTCTACAAAGCTCTTTTCATTCTTAATTATAAGATGGATTTGGCTCTTTGCTCATCGGTAAGAGTGGGAGAAAACATATGGAATATAAGGATATCTCCTTTCTCTTTACTCGAGTCAGACATTGAGTCATAATTGAAGATATGGGGTCTAATCTCTTGATCAAAAATATAAGCTAATTGGTCTAACAAGTCATAATCGAAGTACAGAAAAATCACTCTTTTGATAAATACAAAAGAGGGATCCCAAGAAAAAGAATAAACCTTAACTACATCTTCTTTTGGGTTGTTCTTATTTCTACATCTCGTTTTCGATTTAATGCAATCTTATTAGTTTCTTTATCAAAATCTGGTTATATCTAATTTACTGTTTTTATATTTTATTATATTGCTTGCAACATTTTATATAGAAAAAGTATATTACATTTGTAGCTGTTGGCTTAATTAGAGCCAAACTTGTTTTACAGAATGTCACGTTTGTTGATGATAGTATTCATTACAGAATAAGAAGAAGTGATTGAATTGGTTGCATCAGGGAAGATATGGAATGCATGTTGAGAACCATACGTATGTAAAATGAGCAGAATTGACTTGATAGGAGGAGAGTCAACTTCTGTAGCTCCTGTATGAATTACTTAAAGCAGTCGATTTAGCAGATGTTGTAGTTTATACTTAAGATAATTTTTATTAGGTGATATCTGTGCTGATATATTGGGCCTTTAACATAGAAAGGACAATTGCATAAGAGTAAGATAATTGCTATATTTCCTTGGCACTTTGAGGATGTTTCTATTGAAGTTGATGTGCTAATGCATCATAATCGAACACTAGTTTTGCTGCTGGGTTCTGTCATGGCTGAGATTTCTGTGTTATTTAATACTTTGATGCTCTTCTCTGTTTTGATCATCCTCTACTGGCTTTTGCAATTGGTATTTTCTTGTTAGTGTGCTCTTGTGTTGCTGGTTGAATCTTCATTTCAATTTAATCTTGTTTTGTTCTAAGTCTTTTTTGAATGTGAGATTTTCCTTGTATTCTTATCATAAAAAAAATAAGAGATCATTCTGCAACTGCAGCAAAAATATTATGAACTTGAGGCAACTCTAGTGTATTAGAATCTGTCATGAAGAGATATATCCAACCAATATGTATGTAGAGGTTAGGAAACACAGAGACCTAAGGTTTGCTTCTGTCAAATTAGGAGTAAGAATAATGTTAATACAAAACTTGTCTTTATCTTGGATAATCTTGATATTACATTAATAAAACCATAGCAGCGCCAAAAATAAATTTCAAGGTTTTGTAAGTGAATTTTCTTGGTGCTTCTTCTCTTTTGGTGCTCTTCTCCAATTTGATCATCCTCTACTGGCTTTTGCAATTGGTATTTTCTTGTTAGTGTGCTCTTGTGTTGCTGCTTGTTTCTTTGTTTCAATTTAATCTTGTTTTGTTCTAAGTCTTTTTTGAATGTGAGATTTTCCTGTTCCTTGTATTGTTATCATAAATGAAAACAAGATGGGGTCTCATCTTTTCTTTCAGAAAACAAGAGATCATTCTTGCATCTGCAGCAAAGATATTGTGAAATGTATTAGAATCTATCATGGAGAGATATATCCAACTAATATATATGTAGAGGTTAGGAAACACAGAGACCCACGATTTGCTTCTGACAAATTAGGAGTAAGAATAATGTTAATGCATAACTTATCTTTATCTTGGATAATCTTTGATATTATATTAATAAAACTATAGCAGGACCAAAAATAAATTTGAAGATTTTGCAAGTGAATTTTCTTGGTGCTTCCTTCTCTTTTTCTTTTTCTGAAAAATAATAATAAAGGTTATGCAATAATAAAACTGGATATTGACGTCCTGTATTTTTTAAAGATATTTTACGCTTATTTGAATTATCCTTTTTCTCCTCAAGCAATTTGCTTTTAGAAATTTATAAATTTAATAATAATAATAATTTTAGTTGAGCAGTGAGTTGATTTATATTTATATTTATATTCATATTCATATTTTTCTCTCTATATTTTTTAAATATAAATAACTTCATAGCCATAACACACAATCACACGTACGCATATCCTTGTAAAATCTAAAAACATGTGAGCATACTATATCATAATATTTCATTAATTAAAAATCTAAAGTACATTATTTTTTGAAAAAAAATCATTTTTATCACAAAAAATCAGAGGTATTTAGATATTTATTTTCTTAATCAAATTAGTTACTGTCATCGATAATAAACCATAATAAGGGCAAATATGTCATTTTGAACATTGTTGGAATGAATTCGTAAAAGAACATTAAGAAAGAAAAAAAAAACCACTCAAATAGAAGCCCTAATTATTTGTTTCGGCTGTTTCCGCGATTTCCCTTCGCTGCCTTCCTCTAAGCGGCCAACGGCGAGCTCGGGTGGGTACCTGTAGGCGGAGCTGCAGCTCTCTGCGGCAGATCCGTGGCGGTGAGCGGCCTCTCTGAAACAGGTACGGCGGCAGGAGCTCCCCTGATTGACTCCTCTTCGTCTTCTCCTGTCTTGGATTCAATCGATTCTTTTACTAAATTTTGGATCGCAGATGTAGGGATATTAGTTTTGCAGTTTCTGATTCTTGTCGGATCGATTAAAGTTCGCTTCTTGTTACTCCGATAACTTCATTTTAGGATTCAGATGTGGTTTCTTTCTTCTTTCTTCTCTTCATTCACCGACCATAGTTTTGCTGCAGCTCAACCGGATGTCGATGAAGGACGCCATAAAGGACAGGCTCACTGTGCCGGACAACGTGCAGTGAGTGGTTCGAAGTCTCAGGGGGCTTCTTGATCAATCATCATCCGACGCCAATATAACTTTTTAGCTCACGCTTTAGCCAACTTGGCAAGATAATTAGTTTCCTATTTTTGGAGAGACAATTCACCTGCAATTTGTATTACAAAAATACTAATTAATCATTTTGAATAGTATTACTAGTCATATATTGATAGTTTTGTTTCGGTGTTCATATACGTATAAACCCATTCTTCGTCGTAAGAATGCCCGCTCAGATTCATTGGATGGCCGAGATGGGCCCCATTCGGACCCCATGTTATCAATGCAAGTGTAGGCTGTAAGGGAAGAATTTGTGGTGGACGTTTTCGTTGTTCGTTCCTTAATGGTTTTGGGCTTCGGATACGGCCCAAATATTTAGGGATCCGACTTATTTATCGTACGGATCACCACCCCCCGATTTCTCGCCGTTTTAACCTCATCCTTCGCCGATCCATTTTGTTGCAGGAGCTTCGACCGCCTTCTCCCATGGCGACCCTTCTCCGAGCCCTACACTTCCTCGTCGTCTAGGGTTTCGTCCTCTCCCACTCCCGCGGCTTGCAAGTGAGTCTTCTTTCTGAGATCCCCCTGTTCTTGTCCATTGCTGATGTTTTCCCTCTCTTGCTCCCATTTCGGATTGCCGCAACGTTGGTTCTCTTTCTTTGGTTTCACTCAACTGGTTGCGGAGTGGTACAGTGACGATGCGAGCATGACTTTCATGGCTTCATGTTTCTGAAGTTTCTCTTGCTTTTTTTTCTCGTTCGATGGTTTTCGATTAGGGTTTTGTTCGTGCGGTTTAAACAGGGATTTGTGGGCTTAAAGGATCTTGAGCTCGAACCAATATCTTGACAGGAGTTGTGACTTCTATGTGGCAACGATGGCTCCAGCAGTGGAACGTCGGGAACATAAACGGCGGGTCTCATCTGATAGGTCTAGTTCTCCCGCTAGAGATCGTCGTTCCCCTCGTAGGAGGACCTCTCCTCGAAGAGAAAGATCGCCTGCTCCTCGGAAGAGCTCTCCTAGAGCTAGGTCACCGGCTAGAACTAATAGGGCTCGCTCTCCGGTCAAAGAAAACGTGCACGATCGCGTTAGGTCGCCTAAACGTGAGCGGCAGCATTCGCCGGTCAAGGGTACTGCCCCACGCTCACCATCACCACGAACCAAGCGCTTAAAACGAGTTCATGCTGAACGGGAGTCTGAGAAGTTAGCAGATAGAGAGCTCAGGAGGCATTCAGGCAGGGAAGATCATGATAAAGGGAGGTACAAAGAACGAGGGGAGATCAATGATATTTCAAGGGATAGTAAATCATCGAAAGAGAAGAATGATAGTGTTCCATCAAAATCTTCAAGGCGTGATCATTCAGATTCCCCAGAGGGACGAAGCCATAGGAGCAGATACGCTTCCCGCTCCCCTACCAGACCTCCCAAGGCTGGGGCACGTGATGAGGTGCCTGGTGATATCTGCTCCTTGTTCTTCATTTTTGTTTTTAACTGCCAGCCTTGTTATTTACCCTATTGAGTTGCTATATGCTCTAGTTGGTTCCATTCTTATTAACTGGATACCACATACTTTTGAATCTCAATACTGTTGACATGATGAGTTAACAATCGTATACTTCTGGCTGTGATGATGTTGGTATTTAATGATGCCCAGCATGAAGGCGATATCTGCAGTAGTTCTTACTCTTAGGACCAGTGCAGTGTATCTGGAATGCTAAATTTATGTTTAATTGCTTGGTTCATGCTATAAACACTGGTTGTATGCAATTGTCCATATTTTGTAGTCTTTAGATTTACAGACTGTAAATTACCCTTTCCTTTTAAGAGTTTTGGATGAAGTACAGCAAGGTTGCATTCTAATTATTTCTTCTTTTCGTATAGCACAATTTGCAGTTAATGGTGGCCTCTTGTACTTCATGCAAACCATGTTTTTAGTCTCTTGAGTTCAACTATCATTGCACTATGGACCTGACAACATATTGGACACTCACATTTAACAAGGATTCTTCAATAATATATCATTCTTATGTCTATTTGGGCCCCTGTCCTGTAATATTTTTGAGAGATTCATCACATTCGATGTATCTTTAATGGAACTGAACTAAGGCTTTCTTATGACACTTATTTTTTCCCTTTGCTAATGTCCTTATGTTATCTATATTATAGATTTATGCTACTCATTTTTATAGATTATTTAAAAGTCAGTTCATAAATCATGCTACTTAGTTTATGTTATTTCATTTATTTATAAATCAGTATAGAAATGTCTTTCCAATACCCACACTTTATGTTCTTAGCCATTTCATTTCAGGTGGGGATAAAACCGAAGACGGCAGAATACGAATGGTCAGTGTCTAGTTCAACTGATGAAACCTCCCTCTACCTCAATGTCTTTATTGTTTGTATTTGTCGGGAGATTGATTAATTATTTTTCTTGAGTTATTGGTTATAGCTTCATACATGGATTGGCTTAATAGTGAATACCCGATATTTGTTCCACCACACAGAGCATCCACAGTTTTGGCACTTGACTCAGGGAAAAAAGTTTTCTTGCAGGGGAGATGAAAATGATTCAGTTGCAAAGATGAAGGCAGCTGAGCAGGCCCTGGAAGTGAAAGAAAAGGTCATCATCTTCATATGCAGTCATATTCATGCTACTTCATATAGTGCGTTAGTCTGCGGTACTTTGGATTAACCTGTACCTTGGTGAACTCTAGAGGACATTACTTTCATCAGACAAGGCTTGTCGTGATAAGAAGATAAACTCGCTGCGATATGAACGTAAACTTGTTTTATTAATTTTATCTGGTTCTGGATTTGGGGGGTCTGTGATAAGTTCTAGCCCATCTTATTTTCTCATGCAAGTAGATGTTTTCTCGCTGTTGTTGACTGTTGATTTTTCTCCATGTAGTTTGATGACACCCTTATGGGAAATATTCACTGTCAATTATTTTTTATCTCGGGCCTTTTTCGTCACATGTCCCCATGCCCGATATCATAGTGGTTGCTAATCCTGTGCATTTTTCCCAGTGCTTTATCATTTACATGTTTAATTATGTTTTTTTAATGTAGCAAAAACCATCATTTGAGCTGTCCGGGAAGCTTGCTGAGGAGACTAATCGAGTTAGAGGTATTTCATTGTTAGACTGATATCTCATTTAAACTTAAATTCTCGAATTTTGATTTGGATCCCCAAAAATTATGCCTTCCATCTTTTTTCTTGAAAACATAAAATGCGATGTTTGCCTGCATCAACTATTTCCTTAGTGTATTTAGGCTAATGAATGCTAACTCACATTCTATTCTACATACATATTTATCAATCTCTTTTTGAATGTTAGGTGTAACTTTGCTATTCAGTGAACCGTCGGATGCTCGCAAGCCAGATGTAAGATGGAGATTATATGTTTTCAAGGCTGGGGAAGTGCTCAATGGTAATTTCAGTTTATATCAATCTACTTATGAATCTAATGCTCACTTTGACAGGAATGTGCATGATTATCCATCTGTTTTTTTCAGTTAAATGAAATTTATCGATCTAGTTTCCAAAGCAATGATTGACTATTTTATTAGTTCAAGTTTGGAGGACATATTTTAATTCTTTGAATTTTTCTGTGACGTTTCCTCTTACCCTTGGAACATTATGCTGCCTTTTAGTTTCATTCTCAATTATACTGGCTTGTCTATTCTTTGCTTTTCTGCGCAAGTTGCTTTGATGGACACTGGAACCTTGTTGAGAAAAAAAATATTGATGTTACAATTGTCGTTGAATCCCTGAATTAATTGAGGGTAGTTATTCTAACGTTTTATGATCTTACTTTATTCATTTGCCTACTTCCAAGAAAGCAGTAGTAGGAGATTTCAGTGATTTAAAAAGCGCTAGGCGCTAATAGGCACCAAGGCCCAAAAACGCCCGAGGCGCTAGGCGCTTGCTCGAGCGAAGCGATGCGCTAAAATATAAAAAATATATAATATAATTAATAAATATAATTATTTAAATAAAAAAATATGTTATTAAATTAAGAAAATCGGGTATAAAATCACAATGTCACATTAATAAAAAGTCTTAAAAATCAAAACAATTAAATTTTACATCAAATCTATTGAGTTGTTCTGTACACTTGCCATTTATTTTGAAACCTAATAATAATTTTAAATAAATAAAAATTAATAGTATTAAAATTAAAATAATATATTATTAATCTAATAAATAAAAATATTATTATTAGTATACAGTTAGCAGTATACTGTTAATATATTGTTAACAGTGTAGTGAGAAGAGTGTGAGAAGACTGAGGTTGTTGGGGCAACGACGGCGGTAGCAGGCGACAGCAGTGGTGAGCGACGACAGTAGCGACGAGCGGCGATTGAGGCAGCGGCGAGTAGCGACAGTAGCGGTGAGCAGCGATAGTGGAGGAGAAATCTCGGTGGCAAAATCGTGAGTGTTAGGGTTGGGGAAGTCGAGGAAATTGCGAGAGGGAGCTTGATATCGGTGATTTAGTTGGTTCGGTCGCCTGGTTTAACCCAGGCGCTCGCTTGAAGCGCCTGGGCTCGGGCGAGCACCTAGGCGATGCCTCTTTGAAGCACGCTGCCTGGAAATGAAGCGAGGTGCTCGGGCCTCGCCTCGCCCGAGCACCTAGACGAGCGCCTGAGCGCCTATTGTAATCACTGGCAGATCTATGTGTAAAATTTGATTGTGATGGTTGGAATTGCTTGTTTGGTACGTGAAAGCATAAGATGAATTTTTCTAAGCACTACTATTGTTACTGAATTTGAATTTGATCAGAGAAATGAGTATTCTAATATAAGTATGAAACTCTAGTAGTACTCTTGAGGGGTTTCTTGAGCAGTGGTTCAAACAATTGGGAGAAGTGCATGAAGTGTCGGGACATGGTAGTGCAAGTTCCAAGTTAATCTTGAAGTGTATGTGAGATATATCTAGGATGTAAAAGCAACATATGGTATGTTTGTTTCATTATGGATAATCAGTGGATCTGAGTTATGAAACCAGATATAAGCTGCTCTGAATCAATCTTTGGCCTTTAAAGTATTTTTTCCAGAAAAATATTTGAATATCTAAATTCACATTCTCAAAGATCCTATGTTTGTCCTTTCACACTGCTGGCAAATTCAATTACTTACCATGCTTCAAACCATTTTCAACCCTTAAGTGCACACAATCCAATCTCCAAGTAAGACCATGTGACTCATCTCATCTATTCCCCATTGTTTCTGCTATTCTTTGCTCCATTTCAATTGTGGCATCATGTTGCTGCAGCCATAACTTGTTAAAACCGTCCACTTATTGTTCTAAAAGTCAAATGAAAAGACATTTTCTTTGTTGAATGTAATTTTCATCCATGAAATCTGAGCCACAGAAGTCTCGTACGATACTCTAACAAAACGAGAATGTAATATGAAAGTCAACTGTTCTCAAGGTTGGATTGACCATTCAAAAGGTTTTAAGTCTTATGATTGTCCAGTCATGTTCCTTGTTTAATATGCTGTTGCTACTGTTTGTGCATATAAACTGTCTTTATTTTACTGTAACTTCTGTTGTTTATAACAAGGTTCGCAATACCGTATCGTACCGGAGTTTCGACCTGGGCTCGGTACCGGTACGGTACGGTATACCGCTCGGTACACCCAGGTGTACCGAGCGGTATATTCAGGCGTGTGCTACAGTACTGCTACAGTATCGGAACGGTAGCATATGGTCCGCGTACCGTAAGCCTGTCGGACCGGTACTGTAAACCATGGTTTATAATACTTATTGCCTAGTCCTGGAGGCCTTGGAAGTTTGAAAAGACTTGTTATCTTTGCTTTTTAGCAATATTTATAATTTGGGTTCATGTTCTAGAGTTATGGTTTGTTAAATTTGTTTAGATCGTAGTGCTATTCTGTTGAACATAAATTGCTAAGGAGTTGTCTGATAAACAGAGCCTCTTTATTTGCACCGACAAAGTTGCTACCTTTTTGGTAGAGAAAGGAGAGTGTCAGACATTCCAACAGATCATCCATCTTGTAGCAAACAGCATGCTGTTATTCAGTATAGGTTAGATTTTTGCTTGATTGTATTAGTCAACGATGCCATGAGATCTCTTGAATCCACATAGTTTCTCTTTTCAGGCTTGTAGAGAAGGAGGAACCAGATGGTTTAATATCAAAAGAAGTAAGGTAATATGGTGAAAAAAATAGTTTGGTTTTTACTAGCTGCATCTTTCGACACTTGATTCATTGCTGATAATAAATTTTTTTTTTATCATTGGATGTGTAAACTATTAGGCCTTATCTGATGGACCTTGGGAGTACAAATGGGACTTTTATAAATGTAAGAATTTTGCCACTACTTTAGCTTTTCTCATTTGTTCAAAACCTACATAACCAAGTCCAAAACTCTCTCTCTCTCTCTCTGTTAATTTGGTGTCTTGTGCAGGATAATCGCATTGAGCCGCAACGGTATTATGAACTTTTTGAAAAGGATACAATTAAGTTTGGTAATAGCAGGTATAACTTTGGTTTTGCAAGAGTTTATTAGGACATGCATGCATTCCTTTCTCTGTGGAAGCATTGAACTCATTTAAGATCTCCAATTATTAAATGTTGATGTTAAATCTTGTTAGTTCTTTATGCACTATAAGCTCAAACAATGATCACTAGATGTACACATGTTGTCGGACTTGTGTTGCAAATTTTATTTTATTGCAAGTGTGCTTGATTGTTAGACCCAAATACCAAAAATGGATCTACTTCTGATCATTATCTAAAATGTGCTGATCTGTGTATGCAGCCGGGAATATGTATTGTTACATGAGAACTCAGCCGGGTGAGTGCTCTCTCTCGGGTTGGAAGGCAAATTCCCAAGACAAGCATGTGTTGACTGCACGCAAAGGATATTCCAAGAAGTAGTCGAAGTTGCTGCATGTGGTGAACAACTAGTTTAGAGCACCCAAATGCTTCTGTTTTGGTCTTAGTGGTGGCTTAACCGTATTGGGTTTGCAAAATTCATAATGCTTTTAATGTGCACTATTGTGATCATTCCAAGATCTTCTTCAGATGAGCTAATTTTATACTTGAGAGGAAATGATGCCGACTGTGCTTCTCCAATGCCCTCCTCTGTAAGTCGCAACGTGGTTAGAAAAATTTCACATTTTCAATCTCATTTCTTTCTTCTTGCTCTTCGGCTAAAGAGGTTTTGTTTGTTTTTGTAAATGTCCTTAAGCGGCATCAAAGGGCAGTTCCATCCACTCTTTAAATCTGTGGCTAAGCAAGTACACAACAGCATCGGTTCTGTTAGTGTAAACAACTTTATGCCGTGGCCTCGGGGCCGACGTGGCTCGATTCGGGTCCGAATTACGGGGATCTCTCTAGGGCGTTCCTCGAGTCCGTCGAGGTCGGTCTGGTGCGATGGTCCGATCGGGACGAGTTCATCGTTTCCTCTGGGCAGGAACTCCTCGTTCGCGCGTCCGGCGAGGACCTTCGGTTTCGCACCTGCACAAAGGTCGGGTCGGGGTGCTCGGTCCAACCCCTCTGACGATCAAGTTAGTTGATAGTGGAGGGGGATTCAGATGAAGTTGTTTTGTGTGTGTCTGTCTCTCCTCCCCTTCCATCGTTTAGAACTCGAGGGTATTTATAGGGAAGTTTAGTGTTACCTGATGTGCCTGCTCGTAGGAGCAGGATCGTACCTCTGATGGCGTCTGACATTGTCGTTGGCGTTGCGTGAAGAACCGAACTGTCGTAGGGCATGGGCGTGCCTCGGTCATTGTTGCGTCATGTCGCCATTATTACCCTCATCAAGTCCCATATTTATCTCGGCACGGTTATGGGTCAGCAATATTCGTGAATGCACGCGACCCCAACTCATCTAGACCACCTCTTGTTTAGGCTGTCGACCCATCTTTAAGCGGACTCATATCTGCTTTTATTTATCTCTAGGATACAATAACAAGTCCATCCCCCGATCGGAATCGGAACGAACCCCAGATGTGTGGGGGTGGGGGCCCCCATTCAAGAAACGGCCCTCTCGAGAGTGCAGTGCTCCGACTTCATTCAGCGACGGTGAATGACGGCGTCCGGTAGTTGTCAACCTTTCTTGTTGGTCGCTGGTACTCCTCGGGATACGTCCGAGTTTGCCCGCACCCTATCAGACGGATACATCTTTCACTGCAACACCAACACCAACCCCAACCCCAACCCCGTTGGGTGTCATATCATTTCCAGGTTTCCTTCCATTTGTTGTCTCTCTAAAGCTATTATCATTCATCTTCCATGTTCAGATGAGTCTACATCGATAGAATTTATTTTCCTGACGCGTTGATGGAATTGACAAATGACCAATTTACTCTTGATTTTGTATTCACTGCGATTCCGGAGGACGACAAGTCCTGTGATTCGGGCTGTCTGTCTGTGGGGTGAGTCAACCTCCTGCTGATGCTCTTATCGCTCCACACTTGTCCTACCCTTTTCGATAAGATTCTTCTTATTCGGAACAACACTCCCCCCGCCCTCCCTTATCCTATGCGGGCAAATCCAAGGTGGGGCCCTGACTTGGTCTTTCTCCTCCCTATTTATTACTTGTATGGCCACCTTCTTTATGCGCGCGCGCGAGAGAGAGATTACGGAAAGCTATCGTGTAGGATCATTAATTTATATTTATATTAAAAATCTTGTAGGATCATTAATTTCTTGTGATAATTTATATTTATCACAGTGTTGATTTTGCCATGAAGTCCCGTCGGTCGTTCATGGGAAACGTAGCCGCCTCCTGCTCTCTTCGCATGCTTCTTTCATGGTGTCCAATGACCCTGCAGGTTCCTGTGCTTCCAGTCCTCGAATCTGTACTACTTTTTGTTTCTTCCACTTTTAGTTCCTGGATTTATGCATAGCATTCATTGATGGACAGCGACGAGACCAATATCATCCATGAGTTTCTTGTGGTTTTGAGAGTTTATGGATTATTTTACTTCCATCTTATTTGCTCATCATCTCTTGTCATCTTCCGAAGCCTAGTCACATCCTTCCACAGAAATTTTCTTAGTACGCAGCTCAAGTTCATGAGATGCAGTAAGTATGTTTTTTTCTTTTATGTGAAGATACAAAATGCATGGCAGCAGCATTAGATATACAAAAGCTGCTAATGAACAACATCGACAGACCTTTCTTGTTGCCAGAAGAAGAAGAAGAAGAAGAAGAAGAAAAGAAACTTGAACGAGAAAGAATAATGTGTCTATACATATATTTGCATGGTGATGAAGTTTTATCTGGAACCAATATTGTTGACCTCGGACTCGGCATCTTCCGGTATGCTCCGCAGGCTCGGTCTCCATTGCCGTCCTCGGCCCTCGACATATGATCGACTTCTGCCCATGATACGGCTTAGCACTCGGTGGACATCCACTCCCTGCATGTCAGCTCGGGACATCAGTTCCTCCCACTGCTTCTTCGTGATCTTGATCTTTACCAGGGAAGAAGATGCACCTCCATTCTCCCGTCTCAGTAATGACTTTTGTCTGAGCTTCTCTGATGCCGTCTTCGCCACTCGATCGTCGCGCCGAGGACTGCCGGAACCCATCGTGTCCCAACCCTCCTCGTCGACCCATGTCATTCCAGGTTGGTGGTTAAGGCAATTCCCCATCTTTCTTCTTCTTCTTCGTTTGCTCAGTTCGCTCGGTTCTAACTTCTCGCGTTGCATGTCAAGTACTATATAGGAGGGGAAGAATTGAAGCTTTCTCGGATAAGATCTCAGACCGAGAAGAAGAAAGAGTCACAACTGCTCATAGCCTCCATGATGACCAACGTGGGTATATTAACCCCTTCAACTTTTGCGGTGAGTTTGGCCGCCGTTGGATATGGACCGGAGGCTGCTGGAGGTTGACGGGAAGCCTCGATCGTGTCGTGAATGCAAGGAATCAAAACACAAGTTACGTTGATTTCTCCTGGTGGAAGTTTGAATTCACCTTGGTAGAGAACGAACCTTGACGGTACGTATTCGATGGATGCCTAGCAACGAAACAACACATTGTTAACGTGTTTAATGCCAAGTAATTGGCCTCTTGAAATCAACTCCCTTGACCATAACTCCTCCAAGCAAACAGGATTCGGTTGACCATGCTGACGTTGGTACGAAATATCCCTCCTATTTTGGAGTTCTCCAGTACCATTGACGCGACAACCCACGCATCCCTCACCCCTGCCTTCCTATTGGGCCGACAGTGGGACCTATCTTAGGGTTCACCATGGTCCTCTCGGCAACAACTAAATCAGGTGTGTATCGTGCGTACGTTTCTCGGCGGAGCGTGGGTCCCGCGCGCATGACGTCGCGTAGCTCGGTGGCACGTGACGACGTGGCCACGCACCTGCCTCCACCTCGGATTCCTCTTCCCGCTCCCCCCGACGCCATTTTAAACCCGACACCCGCTACAGAAAACAGCTGTCACGGAGAATTCCAGCCCGACACGTACGCACGAACGGGGAGATCTATCTAATTCCATAAATAGCCCTCTATTGTAGTGTGGCCTTCACACTTAATACTCATATTTTTTATGGTAGATGATATCGAAATCCATCAACGTATCTTTAAGCTCGAATAATGACCAAATATTTCTTAGTATACGGTGTTGATGGACATGACATATTTACTTTATGTGACATATTTACAATTAGACATTTGGGAGCAATTTTAGCATTTATAATGCAATTTTCTAATTTTATTGGCAATTTGGGCAATCGAGTAATTTCGCTCCAAGAATTCATGTGGTATATTTGGATAGGCGTTTCCAACAGCGCCGTCGCATCGCCGAATCACTGCTCTCTCTCTCTCTCTCTGATGCGATCGGAGTGACGTGCTTGTGACGATGCCGACCTCCGCCGCTGCCGACGGACTCCCGAGGAGTCTACCTAGCAAAGCCCTGCCGTCGCCACCCGACTCTGGTCTTCGCCAGGCACGGAAGCCCCACCCCGGCTGCCGCGTCCGCAACCGCGAGTTCCGCGGCGCCGCTGTCCGGACTGGCCTAAGAAACGGCGGCACCGCAGCCGGCGGGAGGAGGAGTGGCCCCGGCACCCCATTTCTTCGGTGGAAGTTACAGGAAGCCCCCCCGCCGAAGCCCGTCAACGAGGTCGGCGATGTCCGCCCCGGAGCTGGGCCTCCGCGCATGTCGGCGAGGAAGCTCGTGGCTGGGATCTGGCACCTGCAGCCTCTGCGTGATGGCAATGGCAGCCGACGACCTCCTCCTGGTCTCGAGGTATGGCAGGATCAAGATTCCAGTAGAGCTCCTTTTTCTGCAGTGGAAGGTGGCTTGATTCTTGGTAGAGGCTCACATATTGATGCCATATTACTTGTCTCAAAAGTCTACCTTTTTCTTTTTCTTGCTCATTCCGTTCAAAAACCTCCGATCTTTAGCATCTTTTCAGGATCCCCTCAGACGGAGAAGAAAAGGGTTTGCTACCATTCTTGATGCTTGAAGGGGTTGGGGGGTCTTTCGTGTACCAATTTGTTCTTGGATTCTTGCTATTTTCGTCAAATCTGCAATGATTCGATGACAAACACTTTGATCAGGTTAACATAAATCCAAAAAGCTTAAGCTTTTAGGAAATGACTCGATGCACATTAGCTTCGAAGAGTCTAGGTCGTAAAGTTGGCTTGGCCATGAATTTGATTGAAGGTTGGAAGGTGCAGGTCCATTAACAGTGATGTTTGCTTTTAATCTTCAACATGTTATACTGCACTTCGCATGCTTGAAAAATGTTTGATGTTCTCTGTTCTGCTTCTCTCTTTTTGACTGTGCAGTCTGTTCCCCAGCATCAACGAGATCGGCTGCTTTGTAATCCCCTTGGCGCTGACCTGCATGCTAATAAGAATAAAAAGAATGGATCTGTCGGTCCAGTCTCAGTTCTAAGTCCCAAATATGGCAATGTTCTTAAGGTATATCTTCGTTCTTTAGACTGGTCGAATTCCTAACCCTTCTCTCGGTTTCTTGTTTTTTCCGGAGATATGATTTTTGTTTGTGTCATCCATGTAAAACAGCTCGCTGGATTTCCCAATTCTGTAACGGAGAATGCAACTAAATGGGATCCTGAGAGCTCGATGACATCGGAGGAGGTCTTCCGGTTCTATGGTCAACTGAAGCTTCTTGAAGCTCAGGAATTGAACACAGATACACTCGTTAATTCCCTTCGGACCGAGCTCGAAAGAGCTCGTGCCCGCATCATTGAACTCGAGACCGAACGGAGGTCAGCAAAGAAAGAGCTGGATCGATTCTTGAGAAGGGTTGCCGAGGAGAAAGCGTCATGGCGAAGCAGGGAGCACGAGAAGGTCAGGGCTATGATCGAGGCGACGAAGGCTGATCTCCACAGAGAGAGGAAAAAGCGACAAAAAGCAGAGATCGTTCGTGCCAGGCTGATCGATGAGCTTGCTGAAGCCAAACTAACCGCGAAGCAGCTCCTGCGTGACTGTGGGAAAGAACGCCGAGCTCGCGAGCTTGTCGAGGAGGTCTGTGATGAGCTTGCGAAGGAGATCGGGGAAGACAAAGCTGAGATCGGAACGCTGAAGATGGAAGCATTGAAGATACGAGAAGAAGCTGAAGACGACAAGAAGATGCTGCAAATGGCAGAAGTATGGCGCGAGGAAAGGGTTCAGATGAAGTTAATCGAGGCAAAGCTGATTCTCGAGGAGAAATATTCACAGCTGAGGGAACTGCGAGCGGAGTTGGAAGCATTTTTGTCTACGAGCGCAGCTGCACACTCCGACTTTGCATCAGTGCGAGAGGCAGAGCTGCTTAAAGAACAAGTGGACCTGGCAAATACTGAAGGGATGGAAGAATTCTCTTACCAGCCGCCACCTGCTTCGGAAGACATCCATGCTGTCTTCGAAGAACTCCAACCAAACCAAGAAACCCATGAGAGAGACATCGAACCTTGCTCTGGTCGTAGCCCTGAAAGCCATGACACCGCGAGTCCAGAGACAGATGCCTTTCTGGAGCATCCCCCGGAGCAGAACGCACATGAGTCGGTAGATAGCAAGGATGATGTAGAAGATGATAGTGACCGGGAGAAAGTGAGTCACGCCGAGGAGCGAGGTTCGAGCAACTCGCATGTTGGGATCGAACCATCCGTCGATGATTGCTGCAAAGAAAGCTATGCTTCGGTGAGCGAAACAGAGTCGAAGGAGAACAGACAAGACAAGGTAAACCAAGAAACCATTGAGGTCTCCTCTGCAAATGCAAAATCAAGAAAGGTGATGGCATCTTCGATGTGCAAGCTTTGGAGATCGTCAGCGCACGATATCGTTGACGACCTCTTGAGAACATCTGATGAGGTGAAACCAGGCAGGTTGTCTAATGGAAGTCTAGCCTCGTACCATGATGAGGTATGCGAGAAACTCTCGATCGAGCACACAACCGGAAGGCTGTCAAATGGTAATAAGGTCTCCGATGACACTTTGTCTCCCGGTATCGGACCGGGAGGAGCTGGTTCGAGTCCGGCAAAAGGGTGCACCGAACGGCCACGAAGCAATCAGAGGCACAGTTTAAAGGCAAAGCTGATGGAGGCAAGGATGGGGAGCCAAAAGATTCAGCTGCGTCATGTCCTAAAGCAGAAGATGTAACATATTCGAAGAGTGTTTATGTTCTCCGCTGTTGATTGTTGAGTCAAACTCTGCTGCAGAGTCTTTGCCTCGGTCGCAAAGTCAAGCTTCGTTTAGAACTTGTAATAACGCATTTCTGTCTGCTACTCCCGTTGAAATTTCTCGGCTTGCGAAGCGTTGACTTCCGATGTCGATATGAAAGGGTGAGAGAAGGAGCAGAAGGGCCCCACTCGACGACTGTCATCAACACGTGAAAAGGCGGCGTCGAGCTGTATCTGAAACACGTGATTCGCCACGTGGGGGTGACGCATGCACACACGTCTGAATCCCAACCGCGAAGCAACGGACCCGTCGGAGAACCGTGTACGCCATCTCGGGTCAACGATTTGACTGCCCGGTTCAAACCGGACCGCCTCTAGACCAGGCTACCAGCCATTCGGGATCGAAGCGGCCCAACTAAGCCGGCCATCGATTGAGGCGGCCTTTGGTCCACGGTTCTCGTGTCTAGGGTTTCCGCGTTCGGACCTCTGTGTGTATATATATAGAGGTAGAGAGGCCTTCATTTCGGTGCTCAAGGGTTTCTTGTGATCGCTTCCTGGCCTCCGGCGCGACAATGGGGAGACGTAAGTCGATCTTTTTCTTCCTTCTAGTTTCTATTTCGGGGTCGATTTTGTCGAACGTTGCTTCATGCTGCTTCGATCCAAGTGAATCGAAGTAGATGGAATGCGCTATTTGGGATTTGCTTAAGGGTAGTTGAATCGATTTTATTGGTTCTAATATGTTAATTTATTGTATCCCCTTGTTTGTGGTTTCCATCCATTCTGCTTATAGATGCTCCTTTTTATGATGATTATGATCGTTTCTTATCCTTTTTTTTTCGTATTAGCTTTTAATTTAGATTTGATTATGGCTGTTGTATAACATTGCGCATATTTCTTGCTAAATGTATCGTTCGTTTCAATTTTCGTGTAGGATCGTAGTCTATTTGTTATTTTCCGCCTTAATAGATCGTGGCCTGTCAAGAAAAATCGGTGGAATGGATCATAGATTCCAAGTTTCTTATTGTCTTGATGGAATCACAAATTTTACATTTTGATGAAAGCATGTGCTTTCCTAGGGTTGACCTAATTCATTGATTTTGAACATCATATTTTACAGACCATGGTTGTTGTGATTTTATAGGTTGCAGAGTTCAAAATAGCAAAAAAGGTATAATTAGTGTATTTGTTTTTTGAGTCGAGCTTCTTTTTAATTATAGAGACAAACATTTGAACTTGCAATGACGATTCTATAGATGAATGGTTTTTATCAAAGAAATTGGTTGTCATATTTACCATATGTAGACTCGTTGGTACGGAGAGCTTAAGCATCTAATTGTTATACCTATGTTCCTTCAGAAATACAACTTTTTTTTTTTGAGATTTTTCTTACTTGGGTTGTAATATGATTTGCTTTGATGGTTGTCCATACAGGTCCTGCAAGATGTTATCGTCAGATTAAGAACAAGCCATATCCAAAGTCAAGATACTGCCGTGGTGTTCCGGACCCTAAGATCAGGATCTATGATGTTGGAATGAAGAAGAAAGGAGTTGATGAGTTTCCCTTCTGTGTTCACCTGGTTAGCTGGGAGAAGGAGAATGTATCTAGTGAGGCTCTTGAAGCTGCACGCATTGCGTGCAACAAGTATATGACAAAGTTTGCTGGGAAGGATGCTTTCCACTTGAGAGTCAGGGTGCATCCATTCCATGTTCTGCGTATTAATAAGATGCTTTCCTGTGCTGGAGCTGATAGGCTCCAGACCGGGATGAGAGGTGCCTTTGGGAAACCACAAGGAACATGTGCCAGAGTGAACATTGGTCAGGTTCTTCTGTCTGTTCGTTGCAAGGATAACAATAGCAACAATGCACAAGAAGCCTTACGGCGTGCCAAATTCAAGTTCCCTGGCCGTCAGAAGATAATTGTCAGTGGAAAGTGGTATGTCGGAAACTGCTCAGTTAAAATTACTATGCAAACTAATGCATCTATGCTCTATAACATTTTTCGGACCCAATGTCAGACTGTAGGTATTCGACAAGCAAAACTATTTTTTTCTATTGGGATCACTTGGTATTGAAATGCATAGATCTAGGTCTGAGTGTTGGAATTTTCATTATATGTGACATTTACTTTAGGACTTTGTTTCTCATTTCCTATTCTTTGAACTCATATGCAACATATGCTTTCATGGATTCTGACATCCAAGTACATATCAGGGGCTTTACTAAATTTACCCGAGCCGACTATATGAAGTTGAAGACTGAGAACAGAATCGGCTCAGATGGTGTCAATGCCAAGGTATGTTGCATTTCTCAGATTAGCTGGCAATAGCTAGACTGCATTGGCTCCTGTGACCTTTGTAACATTATCGCCATTTGTAGTTCTCTTTGGTCAGACATGCCAACTGACACACCAATCACATTTTGTGTTGTTTGTCTATATAACTCATTTGCCAAACTTATTTGTCTCATGCATTTGTCGTTCCTCCACGACCATATGAAATATGAAGTATAATTGCTTAAGGTATAGTTAACTATCGAGCAGAAATCAATTTCTCTTAATGTCCTTGTGTATCTTGGACTGAGGCTTCAGGCTGGTTTTTGTTTGGTCCTTGTTGAAAGTGGGTTCAAGATTGATTCTCTAGTGAGTTGGTCTGAGACAACAAATGCGGTTTGCAACTTTCATCTGGATCGGCAAAAGTTGGCTGGCTGGGTGGTCTGACATCTGTTCGACATCAAACCCATTTTGACAATTGATAACACTGGCTGGACATGTGTATAATTTTGTGTGTGTTACCTTTGAATGTCATTCTCCTTTGGACTTGCATAATATTGGAGAAAGATTTTTGTGCGTTGGGCAAAATTTATTCATGATATGTTTTATCCGAAATAATGTTTGCATTGATCTCTGGTGATGCAGCTACTCGGATGGCATGGGCCGCTTGCTCGCCGGCAACCTGGAAGAGCTTTCTTACCTCCTGCAGCAGCTGCAGAAGCTTCTTAGATTGTCAGCGCCTCTTAGCTTATATACTGTGTGTGCTTAATATGAAGGATGCTTGCGTGAGAGTGTAGGTCTATATGGAGAGTATGTTTCGTTCAGCTGGTTTATTATTATGTTCTCACTGACATTGAGCACTTCTTGTATCTGTTATTCTATGACAGTTCAACTTGGGTTTCCGTGCCTATTAAGTAAATTATTGGAGTTTTGCTGTGATCGAAATCTATCTTAGATAAAGCTAAAGACGGTATTCTGTTTGTCACAACCTCAATGGTTGGTTTCTATGTTCCGTATAAATGCGGGATTCTACGTTGATCATGAAACAATTTCTGCGATGGGACAGAAGACATCATGAATTAAATATTCCAAGGATTAAATGTAAAGCGATAAAATCTTCCACCGCCTTTGCCTAACCGATGTGTACATCCTCCTCCTCCTCATCGGCGTCGTCGGTAAATAGGAAATCATATTGGATATACGTCTATGGTCTATTAATTCTCATAGAAAATCACCCTGCTGATCCTATCGATACGTAGATAGAATAACATCCATAACCAACATGATAGTATATATATTATTATTATTTATAATATTATCATATAATACATTATGCGATCTTATGGGATATCAATGTTTTTGTGTCCAAAACAAAGAACTCATTCATGTATAAGATTTTTTTCAAAGAAAATAGAATCGATAGAGATATAGGAACAAGAAACAAAAATCACAGCTACTCCATTTTCCTTATTTTTCTCCTCCTCTTTATCGCTCTTGATAAAAATTGACCTTCTACATACATACAAATTCTTACCAAAAGTGTTTTTTTTTTTTTTCTTTCTTTCTCCTCTTACTTTTCCTTTCCTTTTGTTTTTTTTTTTTTGTTTATCCCTCTCGATAAACATTCACTTTTTACATATGAATTCTTACTGAAAGTACTATTATTATTATTATTATTATTATTATTATTATTATTATTATTCAAGCCTTTTGAGTATCCTCTCCATTATTTATTGAGGGAGTTGAATAAAGAGATGCATCTCCAAGACAAATCTTGCAGCAATACTAGATAAGAGACAATACTACATCTCGTAGCATGATTCCTCTCCCTCATTCATCGACGGAATTGAGTTATTTTGAGAGTTTGAACTTAATCACTATCGATGATGATGTATGATTATATTAAAGAACATTGGCTCATACTATGATGATAATATATGATTATATCAAATAATATTGTCTTGTGCTAATTGATTGTATTAGTCTCTGATCAGAAAAAAAAATCCTAATTTAGTGGTTTTCTCATAATTTCTTGGTATATAATTATATTTAAATAAGAATAAAATTTATATATATTATAAATTAATAAACATTTTAGGTTGTAAAGATGAAGAGTTGATATTATTATTTTTGAAATCCATCATGAAATTACTTTGTTGCATGATCCTTCTTAGAAAGTTAGTTGATTTTGAATGACTTATAAAGAAGCAAGTTGAAATGTTGGATTAGGTATCTAAACTTTAAGATTAGAGCAAAATAATATCATATATATATATATATATATTTTTCTATCACCAAAATAAATAATGAGATTAGGTATCTTACGAAATATTTGTTAGACCCAAATTGCTCACACAACATATTATGTTGATAAATTAATAATTTTCAACCCATAACGATAAGATTGTTTTAGACCTTTATCAATCGATTACGCTCATATCAAACTATACATAGGTATGCTGGTCGATATACCTACATTTTACGTGCGTACTATCCGAAATAGATTGGTTCATGTACTATATAGTTAAACGACGAACCAGTACATGCATTCGCTCTATACTATATCGGACGATACAATAATCAATGTATTACATATTTATGATATTATTAAATAATTCATAAATTTATAGTCCCTTTTTAAATTTTTGTTGATACTATCTATGTTCATGTATAATATAATTGAATTTTCATATTATATTTACTTATTCAACAAATTGTTATGTGTTATCATTCATTTCTTTTTTTTTTCTTTTTACAGGACATTTGTGTTTATTTTATTATGTTTGGAATCACAACATGATTTAAATCATCAAGGAAATCCTGGATTGAGATTAGACAAGGCATGGGAGAGCATTGGATCAAGGAGAAAACATATTTGGACTAATTAGAGATGTAAATGTAATTACAAATATCGAAGTATTAAATAGCAAAAAGATAAAATAATCGTCCAGATGAAGAAAAAGAAAGAGAAAAAAAAACAAGTATAGATGCGCGACCTTTTATTTTTCATTACTTATTATTTGGAAAAACAATTCATAATTTATCGGTGCATTACTTAATAATGCATATGTTATGTGTGACACATTAGTGTTTGATAAGTTTATTTTGATATCATATGTTCGCCATTTTTTCTCTATTATGATATTAAATAAAATATAATAATAATTTTTTTTATAAATGGTAATTATTTATTCAACACATTATTATTTACCATTCATTAAATTTTTCTTCCCCTTCTCGTTAGGTCATTTCATTATTTTTCCAAGTCATAGATGGAGAGGATTCGAGTTGAGCATTCATCGAGACACGATCGATCATTTTTGGATTTTATGTATATGGAAGGAAGAACGTAAATGATTTAAGAAAAATCTTTTAAGTATGAGATGTATTTATTTATTTTATGAATCATAATAAAACCAACCTCCAATTCTCATTATCGATTCATGAACTCCATATGTGCGGTTTCAATCAATCATATCAGGAAATGACATCACCGACTCCCTTCTTCTTCTTCGTCGTCGTCGTCGTCGTCGTCGTCCTATGAAGATATCTGTCCTCCCCCCGTCGCGCTAGATCGAGGTTAGCGTCACCCGAAATCCCGTCCGGGTTCATCGGAACCCCGATTTCTTCGAGGTCGCCGTTGCCTGTTGAGGATCTTCGGGGTCCGATTTTGGGTTCCGGGAATGCAGAGCTCCCGTGAAAGTTCTGATCGCAACGGAAGCGAGGCCTCCACCTCGAGCAGGTACCGCCTTGTCTTCCCGCCCGCCCGTTTCATCGAGTCGCCGCTTTCGGCCACTCTGGAGCGCCTGGGAGCCTCGTTGGCGAGGCCGGGCCGTTCGGAGAGCGATAGCTCCGTCAGAGGTCAGCTACGAGGCCATTATTCCGGCAGGATCGATGAGTCCACCACCTCTACGAGCAGCGGCGATGGCCACTCGATAGGGATGGCCTGGTCGGACTCTCCGGACGGGCGGAGCGCGGGTTCGCGAAGTTCTGATGGTGTTTCGAGCCCGATGGTTGGTTCTTCGTCGGGAAGTGATGGTGTGGCTCGACAGGCGGCTTTGTCATCTTCCTCTATGCCGACGTCTGCCTCGTCCTCTGGTAGCATGAGCACCGAGGGTGAGTTCAATGACACAGCAGATAATTTTATGAACATACTAATCCAGAGATCCGAGGTACAGGATTTAGCGAGGTGGATCGAACGCGTGCTGCCATTCTCGCTGTTGCTTTTGATAGTCTTCATCAGACAACATTTTCGAGGTATGTGTGGTTGCTTTTGACAGTCTGAACCATCAGACCAACAAGAACTTTTCCTCGTTCTCTATCTAATGTTGTGTTTTGCATGGGACCTGACAGATCTCTTCGGCCCAATCTGGATCGCTGCGGTGATGGTCAAATCCAATGACATCGTGAGGGCACAAACTGCTTTAGAGGTTTGCTATTCTAATGTATTTTGCTTGGGACGCTCCTCAAGAGTATTCGATCTATTTGGGTCATATCAATGCATTAACAATAAGCTCATGAAATGCTTTACGTTAAGAATAAGAAACTCGACATTCGAAGGTCGAACCCATGCATGAGGAACTGTTGTGTGCAGGGGGGGCGAAAAGTATACGTGCTTGCTGGGATCACGCTGGCCTTCATAATTCATGTATACGGAGTGTACTGGTGGCACAGGAACGATGATCTTCTATACCCGCTGGTCATGATTTCCCCAAAAGGAACTCTGGCCTTTTGGCGTGCCTTGTTCATCATCCTGGTCAATGGTACCCTCCTCCTCCTCCTCCTCCATTATGTTTTCATGGCTTTCATCAATGTGCTTATGGGATGTAGGAAGTAGGGATAAGGGCTTATAGTGGGCGGGGGTTGACTTCTCTTGGTGTTCACCTTTTAGACACGATGGTGCGACAAGTTGCCATGGCTGTGAAGTGTATGGTCTTGATGCGTTACACAAGCAGTAGAAGCAACGATCATCGTATGCAGGTAATGTGGCTTGCTTCATCACCCGTCATCTAGTATTGTACGAATAGTGTCTGCAGAAAACACCATCGGCTATCCCATAGAGAAAGAATACTGACGGTCGCTTTTCTCTTCTTCACCAGGGGAAGATATTGACGGTCGTCGAGTACTTCCTACTGCTGTATCGGTTTTGGTTGCCATCTCCCGTTTGGTATCGGTTCTTCCTGAACAAGGACCATGAAATCAGCTTTTCATACCTCATCGCTGGGCTCTACCTCATCTTCAAGCTGGCATCGGCTTCAGAGAAAGTACGTTCTTCTTCTCTTTGTTTGTGGGAAGAGCTCACAGGGTGAGCTTTCTGGTCTCACTGATGCAACTTAGGGTGGTGCAAATCCCGGCAAGCTAGCTTATGTTACCTTTATTCCGAGGCTCAGGCCTTGTTTCATACGATCAAGTCAATGATTTCAGGTTCAGCTATTCTTTGCTGCGTTGAAGGCACTATCAAGAAGCGAAGGAGACGATGGGGGGTCGTATGCGACAACCGAACAGGTAATAATATTAACTTCTCTCAACCATCTGAAAGTGCTGTTTGTGTATTTGCGATTCGTTCTTTTCCAAATGCTTCATTACCACGAATTGGTTCATGTTGTTCTCATTTGGAGACATCGATTCCGGCATGCATGCATGCCCATAAGACAATGCATTTACATGTCCTGGAACTTACGCAGGTAAACGAAGCCGGTGATCTTTGTGCCATTTGCCTCGACAGAATGCGTGCTCCCGTCGTGCTTCACTGCGAACACGTATTCTGCGAAGACTGCATCTTTCAATGGTAATAATACCTCCACGTCCTATGATCGATCACCTTCCTTACCATGCTGCTATTGTCCTGTACAAATGCTTCCTGAGGTAGAGATGTACATGCTTACGAGTTATGCTTGGTCTTCAACAAATCTATGGCCTTCTCTCTCTCTCTCTCTCTCTCGAACAAGTGCTTTGTAGAAGTAATGGATGTTGACTTGATGTCACACTTTTTATTTCAGGTTTGAGAGAGAACGAACGTGCCCCATTTGCAGGGCACAGATTAGACGACCGGCAGCCCTCCGATCGTACGCGGATGGCTCCACAAGCTTGCTCTATCAGCTGTTCTAACTCTGAACCTCGACAAGCTACCCATATCTTTGTAATGGGTGTATATGTGCCAACTGCACAGAATTTTACAAGGGTAGGAGAAAGATCAGCTCGACGGCATATATATATATATATATATATATATATATATATATGGCTTTTTTTTTATCATCGTGTAATTATATTTTGAGTATTTAAATTTTTTATCTATATTTTTTATTAAGTTTTTTTTAGATGATTCTCGATCTATCTTCGTATTACTAACATTAATCATCTCTATCATCTTCGTAACTTTTTTAAGCATATATTCGTAGCATCTTAAATGATACTTAGTTATTCATGAATATAAATATTTTTTTTATAATTTTAGATAAATTATATATATATTTTCTATTTAACTATGAGATCCATAAAATATGATTCGTCTAATAATTATCTGATAATATTTTTTTGATGATAATTATGTGAAAAGCTGATGTAGCTATTGGACTTTTGAACTTCCAAATGGTCATTCCTGAAGGAAGTAAATATCTCAAGTGATAATGGTAGACTTTACATACATAATGCACACTGTAAGCAGCAATCGTAGATTTGGACATCCATCCGCATGCTTAATAAAGGATGCCAACGGCCGGTCAACCGCACGCAGATATAGTTAGTTTCTAGAAAGAGTTGGGGAAGAAATTGTCGTCTCTAGAAGAATTGGGGTAGAATAGTCAAATGTCAAAAAGGTGGGCAAGCCGCCGACGTTGGATTGCTTGGTCAACCACCCACACTGAAGAAGGAAGAAAAATGATGCTAACCAAGAAGCGACTTTTTCTCCGTGGAGAAAGAATCACCAGCATCGTGTTACGTGTAATCCATGGTTTTCGTTCTATTTCCGCTAAGTCCTGTTTCGGCCGCCGCCACTGGCGGCATTTCCATGGTTTTCGTTTTATTTATAGTGATCCGTCGCCATTTCCCCAAGACTCATCCCACCGTAATCTTCCGCGAAGTAGCCATGGAGGAAGGGGCCAAACCGACGCAGACCCTCGGCCGGCCGTCGACGTCCTTCCGGCTTCGTTCCGAGAGCCTCAACGCCCTTCGCCTCCGCCGCGTCTTCGACCTCTTCGACCACAACGGCGACGGGGAGATCACCGTCGAGGAGCTGGCACTCGCCCTCGATCGCCTCGGCCTCGGCGCCAGCCCCGACGAGCTCCGGCCCACCGTCGCCGCCTACATCCAGCCCGGCCGCGCCGGTCTCGCTTTCGAGGAGTTCGAAGCCCTCCACCGCGACCTCGGCGACTCCCTCTTCGGCGCCTCGGACGCCATCGGCGAGACGCACGGGGAGGGAGAGGAGGACATGAGGGAGGCGTTTCGGGTGTTCGACGAGGACGGGGACGGCTTCATCTCCGCGTCGGAGCTGCAGGCTGTGCTCGTCAAGCTGGGGCTGGCGGAGGGGCGGAGCATCGTGCGGGTGCAAGAGATGATCTGCTCCGTCGATCAGGATTCCGACGGCCGGGTGGACTTCGGGGAGTTCAAGCATATGATGCAGGGCATCACCGTCAGGGGCGCCTGACCAACGGCACATGATGCACCTCTTCTCCTCCCTCCGTTTTTATTCTTCTTTGTAATTGATAAGTAATCTCTCCTCTCGCATCAAGACCATTGGATTAGAATCCAACGGCAATGATGAGGTCTGATGTCGTAGATCTGTAATCCTCCTAATATTAATGTTCCTAATTCATCCATCAGCTTTATAGACTTAACAAATATCTAAGTTCGAGTTAATATTATTATTCCGAATCAACGTCAGAATAAAGTAGGGTTTAAGTGAGGTGAGGATTAGAGTCCCATTGTTTTGATGGGGAGAGGAATGTAGAATAGAACTTATGGATTTAGGAGGAGTGAGTTTTTTGATTGAGGTCTGTATACGATGCAATTGAAATATCAGCGAGGGGCTTTGTGACGGAGACTTTTAGTTTGGTCTAAAGTTAAAAGAAACGTATAGTTAATATCTAACTATTTGAGCTTTAATAAAATAAAAGCCGATGATGTTATATTTTATGTGCATAGATAAGTGGTACCGATATTATTATAATATAGTGTAGAAATGGATTTGGAGGTGATGTCAAGTTTATATAGTAGATTGGTGCTCCAGTTGAGTTCTATAGCGACGGTGACGATGATATAATATTAAGCTTCAATTATAGATCTTATGACTATATTATGTTTTTTAGAAGTTTAATTGATTAAATTTGTTTCAAGGTAGATAATAAAGACTGATATAGAAATTCTACCTTAAGTGTTGCTTGCTTGATCAGTATCAACGGAAACATAGAGATGAAATGATGAGTGTTTACAAAGACAAAGTCCATGATTAAAAGTTACTTTGAGATAATGCATGATGCATTTTAGTGCAGACTAATGCTTAATAGAGAGTCGATATATAAATTATAATTATTTATTAACTATAAATTAAATATTTAGATGTATGAAAGATAAATAGTGTAAGGAGCTAAGTACTAGTCGGTATTATGTGAGATTCGTAATATGATTGACATCATATAATTTAAGTGAATTAGTAATAAAGAGTGTGATAGCGACTTCGTATTCATATTTGATAATATATTTTGAATGTAACTTTTTTTAGATAGAAAAAATTTAGAAGATATGAAAGTTGTTTCCGCTCCCAAAAAATAGTATAAAGTTGATAGATCTTTGATGCAGAATCGATATGTTAATTGATTAAGGAATTCTTGATCTCAATGGGTTTATTACCTATGATGACAATGTCAGATTTAGATTTCAATGGGTTTATTACCTAGTAGATATATAGTTATTCTCTTTTGTTATTGTAAAAATAAGGAGGTGTCAGATTTAGATTTGACTAACGTAAAAAATGAGCTAATTTCAATATACTAAGCTCTTTGAGTTTAGTGAAGTCCATAAATAGTTCTTCATAGTTTATAAACATGGCTTGAATCTTGATGGTGGATGAAGCCAAGAGGTTACTGCATAAAGATATCTTCGGTTAGGGTCTCTTGGATGAGTTAGATTATTATTGGTTTTATAATTAGATTGAATATTCTTGTGAAATCAATATTTGGTTGTTGGTGAAATACTTGGTTGTTGGTAAAACCCTTTAGCTACTAGATATGCTTTGTATCTAGCAATAGATCAATCTGGATTCTACTTAATTCAAAAGATTCACTTATACTTGATGATATTTTATGGGTAATGAAATAATATAATAATTTATATGATATTATGAAGTAGAGCATTATATTTTTCACACATGACTTTATGCGAGTTTAGAGATTTTTGAACTTAGAGTGATGGTTGTGGGTTCAGTAACCTTCAGGTGGATTCAACAAAAATAGTATGATGTGATGTAAAAATAGGATTATAGTCAAGAAAGTATCCAATGAAGATACAAAGTTTAAATCTTGATGTTAACTTGTGTAAGGCGTAGGAGCACAGTTAGAGATAACATAAACAACCAAATACTTTAAGTTTTTGAAAGTTTAAGATTTTACGAAATAGTTTTTCAAATAGTGAGTAGTGTTGTACGATTGGGGTGAGCATACGACTAATAAGATAGACTGTAAAGGTTGTTGACCAAAAGGTTATTGGTACGAAGACTTGGTATAAAAGGGTGACATTAGTTTCAACTAAATGTTGATACTTTGATTTGGTAGAGCTAACTAGTTGAAGTAAGTGTGAGTGATGACTTGTGATATTGTATACTGAATAAGAGGTAAATTATTAGAATTTAGTATTCACTTTCTCTATTAGAATAAACTATTTTAATGATAGATTGGAAGAAGTTCTCGATCATCTTTCTAAAATGAGTAAAGACTATGATAACTTCACGTTTATGTTTTAGAAGGTATAACTATGTATATTTAGTAAGTTAGTATATAAAATAATATAAAATATAAAATTATTAAAGGAGGTAGGTGGTGTAAGGCCTTAGACATTAATATAGATAATTTGAAATGGTTTGGAGTATGATATAAAAGATGCTCCAAAAGGTAGTTACAATTATACTTGATTTGAAAGTCGAAAAAAAGTAACGAGAAAGTAATTGTTGTTGAATAAAGGATGATGTCACACATCGATATGAGCAGCAACTGAGGTAAGAGCGATTGGTTGAGTGATTTGTAAAACCAACAACCACTCGTAGATATTATATTTATTTTGATCTCGGACCAAGAATGTTTTTGTATTTAAACCCTTAATTAGAAATAAGTCAGGATAGAACTCAATAGAGATATTATTTTATTTACAGAATCGAAAAACAGAAACAAGATTTTTTTTAATATGAGGTGCATATAAAGTTTCATTTAGTGTAAAAATATTGGTATATGAATTAAGTAATATGGAACCAATGTGAGTAATAAGGATTCTATTATCATTATCTTTATAGTCATTGTGGATATATAAGTTTTACAAATCAAATCAAAAGTGATATAATAAGAAATACTAGAGTCAACAATCCAATTGTTTCGATAAGTAATCGATATAGTCATGATGTTTGATTGAAGCCAATTGGGTGCAGAAGAATGTTTGGGTCGAGATTAATAAACTTTTGCTATATGTCCAATTTTGTCACTATATGATTTTATATTGATTGCTATTGTTGGGATGTCAAAGCTATTGATAATTATAGTTGAAGTTATTTCCTAGGTTATTTGATTAAGATTGTCGCCATGATTATAGGATTACGAAGGAAGGATGATAGCTCTACGTGTTACTCATTTGTCCGTGGTATATTGTTCAGTCCCTTGTTGAAGTTTTTATTTTTTAATTTTTGTTTTACAGAATTAAGTTGTGATAGTTGATCTTATCATTCTCTTTTCTTATTTTAAATATATTTCATAATCAATCAACTTATCATACAGTTCTTCAACATCGGTGAGTCACAAACTTGAATGACTAACGCTAATAATTTATATGTCTATTAGGCAGTTGAGAGTATGAATAATAACTTTTTTATCCGAAAAAAAAATCTTTCTTGCTTGAAGCAATAGGGATATGATACCATGTAAAATAGAAGAACTTATTGATAAAAACAATTATTTTATTTATAAAATTAATGAATATTTATATAGATTTTGAAAAAAAAGATTTCTCTCAATCATATGCTCAAATTATTTAATCAAATCAATTATTTAAATCTATGATTAATTTTTAAATCATAAATTGATTGAGGAGGTAAGGAATACAAAAATATCATTCTATTTGATATTTATTTTTATCATAATCTTTTATTAGATATCTTTTTTTTTTATACAAAAGGGTAGAAGCATTACTATTTGACATGAAGACCGGTTTGCGAAAAATTCTTATGAATAGGCAACCACTCTTGTCATCAATCCGAAGAACATCATCTGCTGGCAAAGCTATCATTTTCTGAGAAATACCATCGGTAAAAAGAATCAAGATCCTTTGGTAAAATAGCAATCCACTTATACATCATAACCTGAGAACAATACAGGAGTCCTGCTGCTGATGTAGCATTAGAAAAGGCAGCAACAGCAGTCGGAGCAGTCATTCGATCTCTCGGGTGTTTTGCTTCATCATTCATCCCCCCCCTGCCTCTTGCTTGGATTGCTGTACATCATTACATATTACATATGTATACGAGGTTATTCCGGGCCCTTATCACACATTAGACGTAGGATGGCGGCTTCGGGAGGCTGGCGACGTCGCCGCAGAGCAGCGCGTTGTCGGGCATGTTGTACTCATCCCTCAGGGACCTCGCTGGAGACACCACGCTGACGTAGAGCTGCTGACCCAGGTAGTGCCTCTCCCACATCTCGGACCGCAAGCTCCACATCCCGGCGTTGTCGAACGTAAGCATGATCGCCGACCACGACCTCGGGTACACCTGAATTGTGTGCCGGCTCACCGCGTCCAGCAGGTTGTAGGTCCTCCGGCTCGCCGGCGTCCACTTCCCGTGCCCCATCCTGCAGGCGACAAGCCATTCACCGAGTTCATTGGCTGCCACTTGGCCGTAAGAGAACAAGCTTCGGTGTGGAAGGTAGGATTGGTTTACCCGACGGCGAAGAAGGAGTAGCCGTCCAAATGGTAGCACTGGATGCTCCTCTCGGGGTTCTCGAGGATGATCTCGATGTAGTCCCTGTAGGTGGCGTTCAAGACGTTCGGTGCGACCGTGATGGGGGCGTTGGTTTCCGGTGGATCGTCGCTGATGCTGTCGTACTTGAACACCTTGTCGGCGATGCCGTAGTACTCGGCAAGCTTGAGCGGTGTGGGGGGATCCACATGCGACACGCCGTTAAGAGCGAAGCGGCGCTTGCCGTTGACGAGCCCCACGGAGCTGGCGAGCCTAATGGTTCGGGTGATGTTGATGCCTCCGTAGTGGTAGGAGCCCTGGGGGTTGGGCCGGGCGGCGCTGGCCGTGAGGTTCCATCGTAACGACCGCCACTGGTTGAACGACCAGGCCCAGCCGACGGGTGCCTTCGGCAGCTCGGGCGACGGTGGGACGACGGAGCCGGCGTAACGGATGATGCCGGTGGCGGATAGCGAGTACTTGGTGAAGCGCGTGGAGGCGACCATGTAGTAGTCCTTGGCCTCCTGGTTGGCCGTGACGAGCACGGAGAGGCACTGCCCGACGTGGACGTCCAGGGACTCGTAGTCGTTCTGCACGGTGTGCGATCCGTCCATCTCCACCAGCTTCATCAGGTGAGACTGAATCCGGAAGTTGAGGGACACCTTCAAGCCGACG